TGTCAGACATCCTCAACAGAGACGGTCACTATGGACTAGGCACATCTTGAAGCAGTCTCCAACTTAGCCAAAAAGAGCACGAACTGAAAAATAATCCTACTAATGGATTGTGGTCTGCAGTAAAAACCACTTTTCTCTGATTGAAGGGTGGACTCGATGATGATGTATGCAACAAGTAAACGTACAAGTCTTCAAGTCGTATGGTACACTTTTTGTCATCAAACAACAGACTCAGACGGTTAACCTAGTTGTAGTGATCATTGACCGTCGACGGTCAATGGGTCCGAGTAGTCAAGGTCGTCCCTTCTAAGGGTAGCTTTCAAAAATGTACAAAAGAAATACCAATAAAATACTAAAGTCCAACGACAAACAACAATATCACTTCAGGGAACGGTTTTTGTCTTTGAGCATAGCTGTCAACTGAATTTCAAAAGAGCATGTGCGTAAAAAATTAAATGGAACCCGTGGTGCAAAAAAGATGTTCGACATGGAAAATGAAGTTCCAAACTCCGCAAGCAACCAGCCTACTAAGTACGACCGAAAAAACGGTTTGTTCCTGGATGGGATATGCAAGTTATTACAGGCGTTAACCAAAAGTAGTCCAACAGGTCATGCAGATCAGAACTTTCCGACAGATATTATTTCGTCCCAATATACTTTGGGGATCTTGTATCGAATGATTATTCCCAGTATGGTATACGTCAACTGAGCGGTCCACCAATTTTTGCAACTAAAACGCGCGCGGAGTTTCATGTGGTAGAAACTGCGGTTTACTTAGTTCAATAAATTAGACAACTCAAGGGACTCAAATATTCACGGATTGATAAGCAGGATCCAGGTCTTCCCCAAGCTTCTTGGTTCGTTTCTGTTCTTGTTCAGCGGCTACCGTTCGTCTGAAAGGCACAAGGTGTTTCGTCATTCACTTGACGAAGGCCATCTTTCCTCTGCTTGGGAGGAAGCGATTGTCACACCAATCTGCGAAACTGGTGGTCGACTATCGCCTAGCAGCTACAGGCCTATAAGCCTCACAATCGTACTGTGCAAGATGATGGAACGCATTCTGAAGCGAGCTATACTAGGTCACCTTACTTCCAGTGACCTGATATCTCCGGCTCGACACGGATTTCTCCCGAACCGCTCGTGCGTGACAAACATGCTCGTGTTTTTGGATAGCCTAACCCAAGCCAAGGACGAAGGACTCATATCGGATGCCATACTTTTTGACTTCTCGGAAGCACGTGATAGGCACCCGCACGTCCCGCTGCTCCACAAACTCGAGTCTTACGGGATTCAAGCACCGGACAGATCATTCTCGAGCGGCGGTTTCCCTTGGAGTTCCTCCAGGCTCCGTCCTGGGGCCAATGCTGCTTCTGCTCTACGGCAACGACTTCCCAGATGTTCTTGCAAGTCGATGTCTGCTTTTTGCGGACGACTTGAATTCCTGGAGTTCCAGTGCCAGTGCCCTCCAAAAGGATGTAGACGCTGCCAAGCAGCGATCGTTGGACTGTCACCTTCCTCTGAATGACGACAAGTGCGTCCATGTGTCGTTTGGAGGAGACTCAGCCTCTTTTATGCATGGAGAGGAAGGACCAGAAAACATAATGAGGATAGATGCCAAAAAGAATTTGAGCATCTGGGTCTCCTAAACTTGTCCTTCTCACTGCACCATGAAAAATCGACCCGAAAGGCATTCGCAAATTAACGGATGATCCGAGGCACCTTCTCTCGTATTACTCGCATGGACTTCCAAATACTCTATGAGGCCTACTTCGGACCGCTCCTGGAGTATGCAAACCAAGTTGTCTACTCAAGACGCTCGGAAGAGGTCACTCTCATTGAGCGCGTTCGGCGAGCTGCAACGAGAATGGTTGCCGGCCTCAAATCCGTGGACTACGAAAAGCGTCTCACGATGCTTGATCCATTTCCCCTGGAATATCGTCGCCTCGGGGAGACCTAATTCTTACTTATGCCCTGTTCGAACAAAGCTTGGCAAACACGTTTTTCACCACTGACCCAGTAAACTCACGGCGGGGACACACTAAGTAAATTTTTAAGCTCAGAGCACACACATTCATTAGACAAAAATTTTTACCATTTCGGGTAGTAGGGGCGTGGAGTGACCTTCCTCCGACGGTTGCCCGTACCCCTTCTAGAACCCAGTTTAAAGCACCACTAGACATTTATTTACGAAAATCCTCGCGCATACTGCCCCGTGCTGAAAGCATGAAGAGCAGTGCTACACCTTTTTTCACTTGTGCTCTTCAGGTGAAAGACGGCCGATGAACGACAAGAATAAAACCGACCCGGTAAACTTGGGCAAATGCCCCGATCATGTGTATAAATCCGTGATCCGTGAAGCAAAAAAATGTAGCGCTCTCCTATAAGTTCTCAGTGCGAGGCAGTACGCTTGTCAGCTCAAAGACTCGCAAGAAAGTCTCTAATAGTGCTTTTAGCTAATTTCTAGGTGGAGTGTAGACAACCGCGGGACGGGGGTTATTTCATGGAGCAACCACCCGAAATGAAAACAATTTCCCTGATGAAAACGTTTGCTCGGAGCTTCAAAATATTCCTAAAATATTCCCACCATGAGTTAGCTGAGTCAACGGTGAAGATCTTGTTGGCTTGGTCTTATTCAAACAGGACGTGATTGCGAAGTTGGCCCCCTCGAGGGAGACGATAAACCTAGGGGAAGGAGTCGAAGACTACGAGACGCGTTTCATTGCCCATGGATTTAAGGCAGGCACCCTTCTCCGTGGCAGATCGCTGGACAAGCTGAATGAGGGCTAAGCCCTTTTGTGACCTGAGTAGAAAACTTAGTCGGCATATTCCAGAAGCGGCCTCACGGAGAATTTGGAAGTCCATGCGATACGGTACGCCTAGTCATCCGTACAACTGCGAATGCCTTTTGAGCCGATTTCTCATGATGCAGTCAGAACGGCATGTTCGAAAATGGCCATATAGCCTAATCCTTTTTGGGATCTATCTTCGTGATGTTTTCTGGTCTCTTACACCATCCACGACAAGGGCGTTCGCTGAGTCTCCTCCGAATGACATGTGAACGCACCTTTCGCCATTCAGAGACATGTGCCGGTCCAACAACCACCTATTCCCGGCGTTTACACCCGTCTGGAGGGCACCGACATTGGAACTCCAGGATTTCAAGTCGTCCGCAAAAAGTGGACATGGTCGTTGCCGTAGATCGAAAACAGCAGCGGTCTCAAAACGGAGCCTTGAGGAACTCCAATGGAGACCGGCGCTGTAGAAGAGTAGGTCAAGCCTATTTTCACTAGGAATATTTTATCCCATAGGCACACCGTAATACAGTGTAGAATTTTCCATTGATCCCCATGAAACGCTAGTATGTGGAGCAGCGGGACGTGTAGGAATCTATCGAGTGCTTGCGAGAAATCGGAATATATGCCACCGATACGTATCCCTTGTCCTTGGTTCGGGTTAAGCTGTCCATAAATACGAGCATGTTCGTCATGCAAGAATGGTCTGGGAGAAATCCGTGTTGAACAGGAGATACAGCGTTGTTGGTAGTAGGCCTATCTAAGATGGCTCGCTTCAGAATTCGCTCCAACATCTTGGGCAGTATCCTAGTGGTGTTAATGGGCCCGTAGCTGCCGGTCGACAGTCGGTCACCAGTTCTCAGATTGGTGTGACACTAGCTTCCCTCCACACAGAGGCAAAGTTGCTCTCTTCCAGCGAGGGCAGGTAGAAACGCAACGCCAGTGTGAACGGAGCTTTCTCCAGGATTCTTGGTTGGAACTCCTCTGGCCCTAGCACGCACAGTAAGTATTTCTTGCGCAAGAAAAAGTGCAAATCAAGCCGGTCAGAAGCCGTTCGTAGTTACGCATTGACAAAATCAGGTGTGACAATGTCACTGATGCAGGACAAACTAGCAGTGTCCTCTGTAGACTTGAGATACTACTAATAGGCCACTCCTGGGCTCATAACCCTCATGAAAAGGCGGTTGGATTACTTATGCGGCAATGCATTACGTAGTAAAACAGTACCTTTTTGTCCTTCCTGGCTAGGTCAGGAATGGCGGATTGTTTTCATACTTCTTCTTTGCGGATTTATAACTTATAGCGATTCCGCATCCGACGAAATGCAAGCTCATCTTCTGTACCTTTCTTAGTCAACATTTTGAAAATAGCTGAGTTCTGTTTCCAGCAGACATTGAATACTTTCAGGTAGAATGGAGTCTATCCAACTGCGTAAAGGTATTTTTGGAACAGACATCACGTCAGCCTCATGACTCCATGGACAATGGTCTTGTATAACTCTTCCGCTGAGGCTGGCCCGAGATTAACTGCTTCAGAAGGATGCACATTCCTGAGAAGTCTGCAGGGCAGATGTTTTGAATACACGCTTGTGGTTCAAGATTTTTGCCATGCAGCAGATGAATGTCAAATGTCAGCACGACGTGGTCACCATGTCCCAGTGGAGCGTTAATTATTGCCTGATCAGAAGGGGCGGTAGTTCGCATGCGCAGTACCCAATTTTTTCACTTCGCACCCGCAAAGCGTAAGGTTATGCTCCTGGATATGCGGGCACTGAACACGCCACTTACATCCCAGGGAGCGGCGTTGGAATTAGTGGTGCATTTCGCTTACCTTTGAAGTTGTACCAGTTCCGATTGTATTATGTCATAGGGTCAGTGCCTGAATCTGCGGGGTATGAGCAGCGAATTCTACTTGCAGAAACCTGTGCCGCTAAACTGGTATATTCCTGAATCCAACAGACCCGTGTATCAGGCTTTTTTCGGTGCCCGATTCTGTATGTCAGAAGCAGAGACGTGACCAACCTATGACCTGGTAGAGGAGCGCGAATGAGATTGCCAAGAGCCTAGGTGCGACTTGCCATCCAGGATGAGGTCGCATGGTCCCCACTGCGCCTGGTTGGAGACACTGCAAGATATGGCTGCTAATCGATGCTGTCATTTTCTATCTAGATTGCTCAGATAAATGTCTGGAAGTGTAGTCCGATTGGAATTAATGCGTTAAGCTTGCACTAAGTTCCTTCCCGGTCAAATTTTGACCTTTTGCTTCACAATAAGGCTCTCGAAATTCATGGTTGTACGGCAGCGAAGCATCAGTATTGAATGCTGATGTTGTGCTGTCGATGAGGATGATGATGGGTCATCTGTCACGGCGGGCTAATGTGTTGCGTGAGGTAAAGAAAGCGCTTCTAATAGACCGATATTTACTCAAATGTTGGTCAGAATATACTGAGCAATTTTTCTCGAGCACCCTGACCCTCATGTCAAATGAATGTATGACTGACTTCCCCAGCGATTGTCCAGATACGCGGTGGATCACACCGTCCTTATGGTAGTGGGTAGTGACCAACGCACATGGTGTTTTGCAATAACTTGCAGCGGACTTTGTGAAAAATCATCGTGATCTCTTAACCTGGTTCGTGGCTGGTCCCGTAGATGAACGTTCTGGTGCATTTTCTAATTACCAAAATGTTGTGAATGACCAAGATCAGTATGTAGCAAAGGGAAGCTGGGTTCAGTTGATGACTAAATATTGTTCACTGCAGTGGGTCAAGTGGGACAATGAGACTGAGAATGTGAACTTAAATGGGAAAAAACGGGTTTCTTCCAAGCTCTGCAGTAGTATTCGGGTTGGGCCTGAAATATAATGCATCTTGGAGTGTCTACAAGTTCTAACGTTTAGAGTTATGCGACTGTACCCGATGTTAGAATTGATAATGGCAATCCCAGTGGAGATGGCGGTGAATAATCAGATTGAACTGGCCATATATGGATATGACAGGCATTCACCAACTAGAAGGCACCGCTAAGGTCAATATTACGCTGTTGACGATGAAGCTAGGAAGGGGAGGCGGATATCCAAGTGGGCCGGATCCGAAATCTCGGCTCAAGCCTACTTGCATTCGTGGTTTGTTTTGATGGACAAATGGTTAGCTAGGAGATGGTCGGGAAAGTTTGCTAATCATGTATGTGGATGCTATAGGGCGCAGAAAAACGGGTTTAAGAGGCTACCACAGACAGCTGTTGGAACTTTTAAGTAAGTACCACTCAAAACGTGGGTAAGGAAGCTGGTGAGGAAGACAATTAATCATATGGAGCCTGCGGTGACCAGCTGCATATAGAGTAGGGATATAGATGCATATCTGATTCTATCATCTATCACTTTGATAGTGGAAATTTCCCACGTTTCTTCCCCCTCGTAACCTCCGCCCCGACTTTGCGGCTACAACTGAATTATTGCCTCAGCAAATAGCATAGCTATTTCTCGGTTTCGTTTACAAAAGCGCCTGAGGTGAATTTTTGTACATTATCGGCAGCATTGCCCCTGTCGAAAATCATATTCTTCTGCATCAACAGGCTTTAAAACTACAAAAACGGATAGTCCCTTCTAATTTTAACACATCAGCCACATTTCTGAATCCGATTTACTGCGACCTCTTGGCTGATGTTGTGTCACAAAATAGGAACTTCTGAGAAACGAGCTTACCACTGCTTATAATTTTTGCATTGGTGTGAACGCTGTGATACCAACAAAGGAATTTTTGGCAGTCGGACCATTGGTTACGGTGTTGGCACTGAAATTCAAAGGAAAACGCATACCGCTCACTTTACTGGCCGAATCACCCAATAAAAACAATGGCTTTTTGTGACCTGTGGTTTCCAATCAATTGATGGTGAGCTCGGTGAGTCCTATTCATATTTAGTTATCAAATAACAAGTACATAACCAAGGAATGCGGAGGTTACGATCATGTTGGTAAATTAAACGAAGGTGGGTGCATAATCATGAAGCAGTCATGAACACCTATAGGAACGCTTCAATTTAGCCATGTGTTGCCCGGCAAAATCTTGCAAAGGACCAAATTTGCGCTTCAGTTTAGAAAACATGCACGATAGGCTTGGTGGTGTCACGTGCAATCGATTCAAAATAGCCGGCATGTAGACAAATATCGCCTTTGAAATCTTCCGAAACATGTTACTCGCTCGTTTTCTCAACCCTCTTGACTTTCTTCGACCGTCACCTCTAGCATCAACCACGTTTACATTATGTCATCGCTTATTTTAACCAGATTGCTTATTGACCATTCTTCATTCACAGGTCCCCTAGCACAGCAAGTATGCATCAGATTTCGCAAAACTCGGCTTTTGACGCCGTCGGAAAGGTGCATGCACGTTCACAACCTGCGTTCTGTTGACATTATAATGCAATGTGGTAAAGGCCTCTGTCACACTCTTACAAGCAGTTACCTAATTTTTCTAGTTAAACTGAGGTCTAACTTCTGAGTCTGTTTGGCTAACTAGAATCTAGAAAGGTTTTTGCAGCACGCACGGTTTTGTCCTTAGCTCATCTGTTTGGTGCTCGGTGATACTATTGTTGGTAGTTGTAGCTCAGGCGTTTTATCATTTTCACTGAAGAACACTGCACGGAGAGGGTGTATTTATTTCCGGAATGCTAAAATAAATTCCAAGAATCTTGGGGAAGTCAGCCTTGGCTGGGTTAGTAATGATGTACGGAAAGTTCATTGTGAGCTTCTTTGTTGAGTTACGGAATCCTCACTGATTACTCAACGGTAAAATTTAGCACATCAGACGCTTTTCCATTTACCCTACCTGGACACATCAGGTCTCACAACCATGCAACAAAACAGCCCGCACTGTAGCTTGATAGAAACGTCCTTTTTGATTCAGGAATGTATCATTCCGACGCTATGACGCCATAGGGTCTCAAATTAGTAAACGCAACCCGAGGCTTTACGGATTCGTGAATTGACCGCATCCATCACACGACAGTTTGAACTAATACAACTTCCAGCATATGTAAAACGCTCCACAACCTCGAGTGCTTTCCCCATGAATTGTAAGTGGCATGTTCAGTGATTGCATGCCCAGAGGCAAAACCTTGCACTTTGTGCGTGCATACCAAAGGACAAGATGACTTTTGTCAGCTCATCCAACAACATTTGCGCCTCCTCCTCTTCTTTGAACATGAGAACGATCTCATCTGCCTATTCCAGATCGGCAAGGTCTTCGTCACGGGCCATTCTAACATCGGGGTTTGAGAGATCTTTCAGCGTTGGACACATGATTTCATCGATCACAAATTTAAACAGGAATGTGGAGAGTGGACATCTCTGACGGACAACGTTTTGTGTGCGGAAGCTTTTGGAGAGCTCGTCATATGGTCTCACCCGTCCGGAAATCTGGGAATACAAAGAGTTTATTATGTTCAGGAACTTCCGGTGCATTCCTTGGTAGGCAAGCGTGCTTAGCGGAACAGACGGGTTAACCAAGTCAACCAGTGAGACTTCACTGGTTTTGCCAGACGAATCGAGCAGAAGCGGCTATCAATAGGTATCTAGTCGAGCAAGGATACTTTCGCCCAGTGGCAGAGGACGACACCAACCCCTGAATATCCCGCTGTAACAGCCCCGGGTTCCTCAGAAGTGCGTAGACGGAAGCAAGTGGAAACTGATTGGGTGGTTAGCTTGATCTCTGTGACTGCATCTTGAATTCTAGCTTTTGAGACACCACACATATCGGTGCTAAGCGAGTCCAGTGTGAGTACAAGAGCAGCTTGCTGTCCTGTTCCATCCAATATGGAAGGTTCAGCGGTATATAATGAATGGTCCCGCAGGCGGCTGGGGCCAAAAGATTTTGTTCGCAGCTGTGTGTGAATACACCATTGGGCGAGGGCATGATCAAAAGTAGTAAGTGAGTAGTTGCGGGTATGCTATAATACTTAATGAATTGCAACCGTCTGTTGTTTGCTTTGGGCAAACCTATCAGTGGCGATTGAATCTCTGAGCAACGTAGAATGAATCTGCCGTGGTAGTTGACCATACCCAAAAACTGACGAAGGCTTCGGGTTGATTGAATTGTGGGACTTTTCGAAATATCAGTGGTTTTATCTGGCAGTGACCGGATTCCTTCGTGGCAGACACCACGATCGAGTAAACCAAGCTGGTTTGCTGCAGAAACGCACTTCTCTGTGTTGATCGTGATACAACATCGCATGGAACGTTTGATGAAAACTAGCAAGTGGGATTTGTGTTCTTTGACCGTTTTGTTTGGCGCTAAGACGTTGTCAGTGTAGACGAAAACGTAGTCTGAACCATGCAATACCTGATCTATGAAGCCCTGAAACGTTTGAGTGGCGTTCCGCAGCCTGGAACGCACGTGTGTAAGTTCGAATAGACCAAACGGTGTGGTAATCGCTGTTTTTAGAATGTCGTCGGGGGCAATTGGTGTATGGTAAAACGAACAGAAGGTTAATTTTGGACGAAACAGTTTGGCCCTGCAACCCCAGTTCAAAATCGTGAATTCGCGGTATTGTGTATCCGTCATGAACGGTACGACAACTGAACGCTCGGCAGTCGCCGCATGGTCACTAGTAGATATTCTAGGGATCAAATATAAGGGAGGGGCACGAAATGCACTTGAAGGCCGAATTATTCCGAGTTGCGACATGTTGTGAAGTCAGATGCGGCGGCAGCATCTCAAGGTGCAGTCGTCGTGGGCTGAATGTACTAGAAAATCATTGGTTATATTGTGGTGCTGGAGTGAATGTGACAAACTCGAGACCAAATAGGATGGTTTAAGAAAACATGAAAACTTTTTAATTAAATCGTCGTAAAACGGAACATTGGGAATGCGGGCGACGCGGATACCGATTGGGTATGATGAGGCAATTAGCTGGATTGATGGAAAGAAGAGTGACGTTAAAAAATCCAGAAGCTTCGTCATTTGATACAGACGGCTATGAAGAGGTTAGTGATGATTGGAACCTGGACGTCAGCAACAGTGAAAATCCGGGGGAATGCACAATGTAGACCAAAGTCAAGCGTCATTGGCTTATCACTGAATGTAGCTATGCGAGAGCCGTTAGCCGTCTGTAATGTCGTCACGGGTGACCGACCAGTGACAACTGTTGCCACACTGACTGTTCACTGTTTTTTTCTGCCTAAGGTAGACAAAGGCGCCCGGTGCTTCACAGCGTAAAGCCTGGTCTTTGAAATTAGTACGGCGATAACGGAAACGGCTAGAGTTCCGTGATGGAGAGCGCGATTCACGTGACCTTTATGACACGGTAATGCGATTCAATGTGGTAGATAACCTGTTGCCATTGGTCAAGGGCTGGCCCATTCGCGTTTGCATTCGGTTGAATTGTGCTGCAACAGGTTGTCACTAGAATAAGTATGTTGTTTCGAGGTTGAAGCGATTAAACTATCCGAGAACCACTCATGAATTTATCTGCGGTCCCTGATAATGACCTCCTGAGACATCGGACTTGGTAGCTGGTATTTGACGTCTATTCAAAGGACTACACTGCGTCCACGCTTCCTTTAAAATCGAGTTGTCAATCGACTTGCTGCAGAAACGTCTTTGCACATGTTGCAGTAGTTTTGATGGCATTCAATCACCCAGCTCAACTTCTGGAAACAGTTTCTGGGATTTCGTTTTGCAACAGTTCGGTGTCCGTCTAAATAAGGATGCCTTAAGCGTTTTGTATGGATTTGATGCTGGCATGGAATCAATCAAATCAAATAACTCTACAGGAGGCTAAAATGCCACGTAGGAAAACGTGGTCTGTTTGGGGTAATTTGGCAAAAGTGGAAGTAGCATTCCAGTTGACTGAATCACACTCTAGGGTTATTAACTACAAAAGATGTGAGTTTGGAGTGAACGTCAGTTTCAACCAAGTTAGCACTTATTTTATCCTACAACTAAGCTACTGAGCTAAGCAAGGGCATGTAAGAGCGGTGGTCATTCTGAACTACCACACCGGGAGGAGAGGATTCTAGCTTTGTGTTATTTCAGACCTCCGGGGATCTCAACATCAACCCACCGATGAGAATAGATGAATCCAGTGGTTGTTAGCTAAAATATTTGGTCATGTTTAGACTTGACATCAGCCAATGATAGTGAACCGTCAGTCACAAAAACAACTACACAGCAAAAGTTCCAATGTCACGTTGGACCCAAAAAGCGGGTGGTTGTGTTGTATTTCCTTAAAATAGATCCTTGTGAGGTTGTGTGGCCGATATTGACAAGGAGAAAGATGGAGTTGAGCATGGAAAGTAAGTGTTCACAAGATCTACATGGTGCTACGAAGTCACCATGAGAAGAGACAAGTAGCACAATCCGCAAGAATAAATGCTCGCTAGCTTTATGGTCCTGAAGCTATGAACTAGATCCGGATGACAGGATAATAATTTTTATTTTCATCCGGTAGGTGGCATACCATTGTTCATGAGCCCTATGGTTGGAAAAACATGACGAACAAGTGTTGAGAGTGCTAAGGATCGCGGGGAAACAGAGAGTTCTCTCGAATAGTGCGCATTATACAGCACATCAGCAGAAACTGTTGATTGTTGACTCGACAGAAAGCATATAATCGCCTAATTTCTCTGTCCCTAGACCGTCATCTGGGTTGAGATGCACCATTAGCCGATCACCTTCCGTTCTCAACTAGTCCAAAAGCTAGCCTCCCTGCTAGCTGCCTCGACGACAAAGTTTCCACCTTCCCAAAACTAGGCACCTACTCTGGCCCAACTAATGTTTGGCTTCTAGATCAGCAAACGTATTCACCCTTCTTGGGTCCATTTAGCTTGCTGCTACCCCCTTTTGGATTTTTTCTATTGACGCCGTTGTATCTCATGCCTCCTAACACCCGCCACACACTGCCGCTTTCATTCTATTTCTTTCTCTTCCCAAGCTTCAAACCTCGACTGCATTTGCTGAAACGTCCCTTGGAACTGTTATTCATTCACACTGGCTGGTGTCCGGTCTACACCCACACGCTCCTCCAACAAAAAGGAAACTATGCGTGAGCTTACGTCTGCATGACTCCCTGTGTCAACCTCTGTCTCACCCAGAACCGGTCGCCACGAAACTGAGTATCCCTCCTCCAAGCCTTGACTGCCATTATGGGGCCCTCGAGAAACCGAAGCATGCCAGTTGGATGATGGCACGGCACTGTCATACCCAGTGTGATGGCACTCCAGAATCTCGACCGCAACCCCACGCGCACTCAAGCCTGTAGTCACAACTTCGAGCAGTTTCCATCCGGCCCCGTCTCTGGGATGAGCTCTTCCGTACCCAATGAATTTTTCGCTCAGATTTGGCTAGCCTGGCTTTTCCGCTGCAATTTCGGCTTGCCTCCTGCACAAGTCCAAATCTGTATACGGAGTTAAGGTCGCCCTATGTATTGGCAACTTGCCCCCATCCAACCTATTCCTCTGCACCCGGCTTCCCTACAACAGTGCAAGCAGTGAGTCTACTTACTTTCAGGTTACACCAAATTTTCGAAACAAAACCTGTCATGTGCTCCGAATTTGAATTATCCCATCTCCATGTCCACTTTTCCTAGTTGAAACTCCGGTCATTTGCCTAACCACCCAAGGTCACTCATGGCCGGCAATGGTTTTCAGTTTTAGTTCATGCCACCTGACCGTCTTTGATCTAGTCGGACCTCAAGCCCATTGTTCCCAACAAGTTAGGACAGGAACCTATTATTACTATATCATCGGATATTTCCCACTGTTTATGACATTGTCCTCTTTTTGCGCTACCCGCACTCCCATGAACCCCCAGTCATGCTCCATTCTGACCGTAAGACTATGATCATGTCAGACGATACGCCACCCACAAGTTGGGAATAAACATTACTGTTATTCTCCACTGTGCGAATACTGAGCGCCCGACAAACGTAGCGTTGAAGCTTTAGGAATGAATTTAAAAAGAGGGGTGAAATTAAGCAAAACAGATTTCCAGAAAACTAATGGAGATTATGATTATGAAGTAAGAATAAGAATAAAGAAAAACCAATGAATAAAGAAAAATGGGAAGAAATACTACAGTTGCACCAGATAAATATGTTAGACTGGTCAAATTTCTGGAGATTCGTGCATCTGCGGATAGGGATTTATTCTGCACCGAGATGTAAATAAGAAAACCGTTCCCCGGATTTTGAAGATTACTACAATTCCATTGTCGGCAACAATACGGTTGGAAATTAAACAACAAAGAAATGATGAATTATACGAATTCGAACACCACAAAAAGGGTTGAAAGTGGTGTTCAGCGCCCGCATGTCCAGGAGCATGACCTTACGCTTTGCGGGTGCGAAGTGCATACCAATAAACGCAGCGACTTGGGCCAGTTCATCCACAATCACCTGCAACTTCTCCTCTTCCTCGAAGGTGAGAACGATGTTATCTGCCCATTCCAGAGTACAAGGTTTTCGTTAGCACCCATTAGAACACCCAGGTTTTGAAGGCTTTCCAGTTTTCACCTCACTATCTCGTCGGTCACGAAATTAAACAGGCATGGAGAGGGTGGGAATCCCTGATGGACATCGCTTCGTCTACGGAAGCTTTTGGAGGGATCTCAGAAACGGCTCTCACAAACGTCTGGAAGTCTGAGAATACAAACAACTTATCATGTTTACAAATTTTTGGGGCGCTCCTTGATGGACAAGCGCGTTAAGTGGAACAGATCAAGTCGAATGCGCCTCGGAAATCCAGGAATACTGAAACTTAGGGTCGTTGGTACGTATGACGTTGTTCTATCAACGGATGGTGTAAAGATGTGGTCAGCACAACTCCTACCAGGACAGAATCGTGTCATCTGCTCTCGAGTGGGAGTTCCAGGGGCCAACATAACGCACCGTAAGCACAAATGACTCCAGCAGTCACGTTGCAATGGATGTCAAGCTGATCACCTGTAGTTACCGCACTCACTACGAGCCTTTTTTTCGAAAACGGGTGCTCTCACTGATTTTCCTCAGTTTTCTGGTACAGGAAAAAAGATCAGAAAGGCGGCGAGGACTTCAATTCCATCTTTGAACAATGTGGGTAGGAGACCATCTTGACCAGGAGCTCGGTGGCGCTTCAAGGACCATTTGTAGTCATAAACCTCCAAGGCGCTAAGGGGCTCCACTGTCCTCATCCAGGGTTCGACTTCAGGCGAAATCTTCAAATGAACGGCAACGGTACGCTACGAGAATCGATGTCTGAAGTACTCGGCACAGTGGTCTGTGTTCTTTATTCGAGATGGTGACGTCACCTGATCCTGGGTGGTTTCGCGTACAGAGGCTGTCCTGGACCGACCGCAGGGATCAACTGAAACGGTTTTCGGAAAATCTCTGTTTGGTTGGCCTCTCATTTTCTCAGCCTTCTGTGTCCACAGGCTTCACGGTCGGCGCACAGGCTCACTTTCAATTGACATCTAAAAATCCGTCAGGCCAAATTATGTTCGGGACTGGCGAGAACATTTCCCCTTGATTCGAGCAGCGACGCTGTCCTTTCTAAGCTAGCCCGGTGTCATTGTGCCACAGGCCAATTGCCCAGCACTGTGCGAACAGGTGACGATCTCGTTCCCACATGAATTCGCAGCTAATGGAGAAGAACTTAGGAGAGACACCAGAAGACAAATCTGGTAAATTCGCACTTCTCCTCAAACGCCACTGTCTTGCGATCCGGCTTTTGAGGAACAGGATGCTTTATGTTACCGTATTCGTCCTCCAGTCCAGGTTTATGTGCCCTTGAAGTAACCCAGCCCATGCAAGACCACGGTTCTCAGAAATAACGACAATCTTCTGCTAAATCGGCCGTCCACTGCTGTCATATGACGAGTCAGCCGCCTGCGGGGTACAACAGTGTGGGTGGACATGAAAATGGTTCTTCCGATACCCCCCTACCTTCTCTTCCGAACATGTGTTTTTGTTCCCCACCTGGCAGCACTAAAAAATCTTCCCTGTTAGCTCCATCCTCATAACTGTTGAACTAGTGATACGTGGTGAGGCGTGAAACAATTACTCGTGAGCAGCAAGCGGGACCCTTATCTGGCAGGTCTGATGTCAGCCTTGGCGCTGCCGCCTCCTGCAAATGGGCATGCACACCCTCAAGCATCCCAAAATCGATCACTATTCCTCGACAATCGGTCTATTTGGTCGTTGTATTATCCACGTTCTGAAGTCAAAAGGCACAACCTGGCTTTGCTCTCATACTATACCAGCTTGACATTGTTGTGTGGTGTGCAATGGAAACAAGAGTGATACATTCAAACACAATATTTGTGTTAGCTTTCTCATCAAACTGAACCCGCCTCTGAATGCGCCCCTCTGGGAATCCAGTGGCTGCTGCGGCAAATCCTGTTGGAGTCGGTATCATCTGAAGTCTAAGCGTAATGATCTTACCTTGATTGTATACCCATTGATGGTTCCCTCGGTTAGGTTGGCCCAAGAGCGTCGTGAGAGGATTCTTGGTGTCTTTGAGGAATTTGACTGGTTCATCGTTTCTGCCCAGCTATTCTGCATTGTGATGTACGGACTGCTATAATGCCAAGTGGAGCCTGTCCATAAAAGGACAAAGGCAATTTAAATAGGACACCTCGTCCGTCCTGATCAACAGGAGTCTTTTCGAAAACTGGTGAGAGGGGTGCATGCATTAAGGTGATATATATGGGTAAGATTTGTGGCAAGGTTTCAGTTGTGCCGGCTCGCGATGGTTAGCATTTCGACTTATTTTGATGCATAGATCAATCGAATCATTCACGAAAAGGCAGTAGGACAGCGAACTCCTTTAAGAAGGTACAGAGGTAACATACTTAATCCGAACCTAGTATTGGGTTTGAGAGGCGCTGATTTTTTGTATCGTTATGAAGATTGATCGTGGACGAATTGAAAATAAGAGTGCTTGCAGCATCAGAAGAAAATTGTCACCGAATGACTTTCTAAATTCCCAGGCATCATCTCCGCGCTGAATCTACTGTCTCAGATCTGTGGTGTGTCTCGTGGAGTCCTCGTTTTTGGTACAGATTCAGGGTGGAGTTTGTTTGATATCGGTGAGGAATTTACGTCACACCGTCGTGTGTGCGTGCGAAACACGGACACACACACGCACGTATATATATTTTAGGCAATGTTTGGCACAATAAGGTGGTTTAGAATACTTACGAAATAAAACAGAGGAAGTCTTTCACTCTAGGTTTGGCGGGTGCAAGCCGATGTGTTCAGGGAAATTGCATTACACGTTGCGAAGGGCCTACGAAGCTAACATCCTTGCATTAACGTGCAACAAACCGAAAACAGGAAAAATTTCCCCAGAAGTGTGTTTGCTGCTATTCTACGACAACGCAGGAAAGACGGTGAGGATTTACGTTCATACCTGCCAAAATTTATCGCGACACTCAAAGTGCAGTAAGTTAAATCCATGTTGAGAAATGATTGCTGGAAAAGCAGCGATAGCCTTGCCTAAGCAATTAGGTTAACTCAAAGCATTGTGAAACACCGTTCAATATGTTCACCACATCTTTTACACCGTCAATCATGTATGTATCATTAAAGCAGCAATCATAGATTGACAGTCCCATGCACGCGGAGGCTCACAAGTCCTTCAAAACCATAACTTTCGCTTCTTCAAGCGTTGTTTTTAGAAGAAAATGGTTTTCAGCCAAATTCCAGCCAAGTGAGCCAATAGGGGGCTTTTGATAACTGTCCAATTAGGTCGATCATTCCTATTCGTCGAGCTTCTCCTAGGCAGAGGGTTCCATTAATTTACTGATTAAATTGTCACCATGAATGTTCGACCTTAACCACAGGAGGGAATCCAATTTATGAATTATTTCCAGAAAAAGCAACTCTGTACAGTAGCGTGCAGTGTTTTTAACGGATAAAAGAATAGAAATGTGCACAACAACAGCGTGTACTGATCTTCAAGAATGACAAACAACGTAACCAAAACCAAATGCAGTAAATGAGTTGAGAACGCATATCAGTATACAGTAAGCGAAATTCAGAATCCAGCATGGCGCAATAAGTAACACGTATGTATTCAAACTGATGTGTATATAGCACGTGGAATAATAAACCGATAGAATACTCGATAGAGCATTGAATAGAGCACAATTTGTTTTCATCACACATTGGACGAGCGTGTGGGTGTTAATAGTTCAGTGGTAGTCTAGGTCTTGATCTTTCGGATCTTTCCGGATTGGAAAATTCAGGTTTTTCTCAGGTAGTATGTTCTACGGAGATAACGTTTTCTTCGGATACAATATGATCATCTACAAACGATTCATTAGAATTTGAAACGTCAGTAGTGCCATTATTCGACTGACCTCTGGTGTTGAACAAATCCTGGTCAATATGTCTCCGATGGCAATAGAGAGCATTCAAATCAAGAATCGTGACCATCCCTTTGCCATCTGATGTGAGTATATTCCTGTAGCAGGCCACAAATCATCACCCTTAAAAGAGGTAGCATCAGCCGTTCTGGCACAGTCATGACTTGTACGCAACGAGTGAGATTTAAAAAGAATTGCTGCAGTGAACTTCATTCCTATACTGCATTAGAAAATTATCAATTCCGCGGTCTAATTGCTTAGAAGATGTAGGAGAGAATGAAGTACTGGAACATTTAAGTGTTCGCACAAACGCCTCAGCAAGCCCATTCGACTGGGGATGCAATAAACTCTCAAGGCCATCCAAGGTCATATAACCATTCCTCGAGTGACTTTTGAATGACCAAAACAGCTGGTACACATTCACGGTTGAATACTTTCCTCAACGGTTGTTCTGTGAATCCAGAACTAGGGGAAGTAGTTAGAAAAACTTCAGACCAACGTGAGTATACGTCAATAACCACAGCAGTCAGCATGAACGCGTTGAAATGTTTCACAAGCAAGTGGAGATTTTCTATGAATCTTGTGTGTACATTCAATACAATTTTTAACAGTATATTTGATGTCAGCATCTAGCTCCGGCCATCAACATGACAAGCGTTCAAAAGAATTCGTTTTATCACTACCCAGATGACCAGATTACAAATCTGCAAGAACAGCCTTTCGGTGAGTCGATGGAATGATAACTCTATCCCCGAGGCATAACAAACTATCTGAAGTAATGGACAAACTTTCGGAGCGACAGTAAAATGCAGGAGATCACCGTCGCTTCTTCTGTGTCAAGCCACGTCGCAGCTGTTGCGCATTGGAGTGCCGGTAACCTTAGGATCAATTTTGCCCATGCAATTTTGACTACAGTTTAGCCGGTTTCATATAGTCAGCTGTACCCGGATTTTAGCCATCGCTTGCTACCAGTAAGTGTTCCGAGCTGATTCATCTGGAAGGGCCGAGGTTCAACGGTATCCGCCTGACGCATACGTGACTCTTGTTCCTGTGTAGACTATGGTTTACGTTGACCAGTCCTGCGACAATCAATTAAGGTTTGATCTGAATCTCCGCGGTCTACATGACTTGTTCAGCGCAGCTAGTCACTGAGTAAGAGATCAGCTGAGAATTCGGATAAACTGATGATGTTGCATCCATTTTTGCTCCCTTTTAATGGTGTAGAAAATACGATAACAGGATACAAGATATCTCATTTAGTCGTAAAACAGGGAAAAAGTTACGGAAGTCCTTTCAGTAAAAAACATTCACAATTTGAATCCAGGTTACCGACTTCGCAGATACTTTTAGAACGATGTGGAGGACCAAAGGCTAGGAGGTTTTTAAAGTTGCAGCTCCACAACTAGGCAAATTTTGGTGTACCTTCGCGGTACAGTGTGTTTGAACAGTAAAATTTTCAGAAAAATTGGTACACATTTCCACCGCTGACATATGCATCCTCCATCTGGTCATCATTCAGGTAATTTCTTACATCACAGCCATCTTACGAAGTTCCGGAAAGCTCTGTGGACGCAGTGCTGATCTCAAAAGTCAATTTCGTTGAAACCTCATGAGAACCTCTAATCTTCAGACGAAACTTCATGAGGTTTGATAGTAGCTTTCTTTAAGGCATAGAACGAGTTAGCACATGACTTCTCCCCTACCATATTTACCAGACAGTGTGAAAATGAAGTATACGGGTTAGGAAACCCATCCCCGTGTCATCCGTTTTGAGGCAGTTGATTCTCACGGTTTATGGGTTCGGAACACCGAATTTCGCAGGAAAGTGTTATAACGTGCTCGCCACTGCACAGACAGAGTCGAAAGTTAGCGCTATTAGCCGTTATGTGAAGACCAGTCATAAAGTAGATGAAGCGCCAAGTTTTAAAAGTACAATATGCGGATAATGTTGGGCCACAGAGACGCTTTACGGGCGACTAATTGAATAATCTTACCTCAACCAACGTATTGCGGAGAGAAAGCAAACATCTACGGGCTGTCGCACATTATCGTGATCAGAGTCAAACGGACAACAATACCAGATCAAATCATTCTATTAGTAGCTGATTTTCACATGGTCCAACTGAGTTCAGGGCTACTTGGCATTGGTGGGCGCTTGGGCTGAACCCTTGTGTGGGTTAGAAATAAAGGAAGTTTAGCTCATGGCTGAAGAGACCGCTCCCGATTGTCCATGAAGTGAGCGTCAACCTTCAATGTAGGACAAAGCAGAGCTCTCTCAACACTTAGTAGTCGGCTGACTTAAACAGGCATATCACCCGAGAGAATCCGGATGTCTATACCCCCTGCTGGCCGAAGCAACCGCGGCGAATCCCGATCCAGACTGTCTTCCTAGGACTCGGAATTCTTTGTTGTATGACGACAGACGAGGTAAACACCGTTTACCTCGTAAAACAAGGTAGAAAAACCCGACCCAATAAAGCGCTTTCTACCTCGATTTTATTTTGATTTTTTTGGCGAGCAAAATTTCAGGTGCAAAGGCTATTCACGTGAACTGCCGCTGAACAAATAGGAAGGCATGTGTAAGAACCGTGTGCGGGGGTCAGCGAATGAAGGGTTGCAAGGGCGAATGAAGCCTTCCGACTACGTGAATCGAAGAAAGGGTTTTGGTCAAGCTATTCAACCTTGAAAAGTTACATCAATGATCCAATCCAACAAACGACGGGACAATCCTTTTTACTCTGGGAATATTATATGACGTCCGACTAAAAAATCTGGACCACGAGGCAGCGATCGTTATGGTTTTCTTGAGGGACCCTTCCTAGAACCAACGTCTCAATGGTTTGGCAGGCTTGAGTGGGGGGGGGGTTGGCTTGGGCCAGGGACCCAGACAGTGTAGATTAAAAGACTGACTATTGACGACGCAACACAAATAAAATGCTTTTGAAGGCGTCCCGGGCTCAAGCACCTTGTTAGATAATCCATTGGGGATCGTGGTCAACCTATGGGCGGCTTTTATAGCCAGCGTTTTCTACTCTGCTTTCCTTGGATCTCTGTTTCAATGGGCATGGACGAGCCAACTGCCTCCAAACAGCCTCATAACAAGTATTTTGCAGCACCGGAACTCATTTCTATTCGTCTTATTGCTCCCCTGGTATTTTGGCTTGCTTGAAGCTTGAAGAGGCTAAATCCAGCCAGTGTGTCGTGAAAGATTACGGCAGCAGCCTTTCGCGACAAGAAGATGGCATTAGGTCGCGCTTTTCCGATGTAGTGTCTCTGGAAGGAAAATCCGTCATCATAATTATCAGCTGCCAGGACTGCGTACTTGTTGTAGAGTGGTGTAGCCGAAACCCTTGGCCAACCAAGTGGATATCGTAGAATATTATGACGTTGATTTGCTTTCAGAAAAGGTAGCAGACTTCCTTCACGACATTGATGCTTATTTCTTTAGTGGAAACCATAGAAACCGCCTACCTTAGCTGATTATCCCGTCTCTCCACGCGGCTTCCACACACTAGCAATAAAGCCCTTGGCATCTAAACCCGAGGTGCCTGCAATTCCTTTGGTGTAGGGATTGAAGTAGGCATGCGATTTTTATTCTACAAAATCCCCAGTTTCCCCACTTTTCCAGGCATGAGGTGGTAAAAACAAATTTAGACATGTACCAAAAATAATATATATGAATTTTTGCAGCCAAACAACTCCATGTGGATAAGAAACAACGCAACGTTTGAAATAATGTAGATGTCTCTTTGGCCCTATTTTAGGCCTTTAGGAAACAGTCGCCGCAAGAAGAAAGCGCTCGAAGGCTACGTAAATTCGCCACCTAGAGGAAGTGTCTAATGGTACGCACTTGACCAGGTTCCTCAAACTTTCACATCTATCTCGGATTCTACAAAGACAAAATGTACAACAGTTCGGATATGTTTTGCATGAGAATAAGGCTAAAATATCCAAACAACCGCAGCAAAAAGGCTACCATGAGCGACAATTTAAAACCAGGCCTATCAAGATAAACGTTGGTATAAAAACAACTTCACAGGTATGTCCGCGGAAGACTGGACCGTTGGCGCACGATTTGTGGATTCAAAGCAAGTTAATGTATTGGGATTTTCACTTCTGTACCTGAGAGCCACTTCCCACAACTTTTAATCTAGTAGTACCATAAACACCTACGTAAAATACCTCTACCATGACCATAGTTGGCATAAACTTCGTTGCTAAGACACTGAGCACGCCAGTTGAACTGGTTGAATCGCGATAATCGGAAAACCTGCATGCAGACATGATCATGCATAAGCAAATCCACCGGAGTGCTCCTGACTGACAAGCACTTGCAGGAATTTCGGGAACAGTATACGAGACGGTGTATCACACAGACGTTATCATGCTCACAAGTGTCGGGAAGTGGTTGGAACAGGCTCTTTCAACATCTACACGGACTAGACATTAAAAAGAAGATTGTCCAGAAGGTTTTCAACAGCTTCAATGCACTCCTCTCTTAAGCCGGGCGCCTGAAATCCGGCTTAGGATTCCTTGTATGACTTCTGAACATCTCGCCCCAAAACTAATAAGTATGACCAAAGAAGGTACAATGCCGCATCAGGCAGACATATTGAAAGTGCAAAACGATCACTCGTGACAACCACTGCGCAAATCCAGTGATCGACGGAATTGTGAGAATGCATAATGGATGATGAAACTTCACAACACTTCTTCGTATGTTCACTGTAGGCAGGTCAAAGACAGGGCGCATAAATTAAATTCTTCGTTCGAAGGTCAACTTAGAGCTACAATACACATGATAAGAACAATTCAAACACAGGAATACGTTAAGAGAGAAACGTTCGGTTTCGACAAACATATCAGGATCTGGACCTAGCCCTTATCAACATGAACGAGTGCTACAGCTGGATTCGGTTGTCTCACTTGTGAAAAGCAAATTCGTGTGCGAATAAGAGTATTTCTCAAGGTTCTCTTCGTCAGCTGACTCAAATAAAGTTTCTGAGGACGTGGATCATTCAGCTTACAAATCCTATAAGCGTTTCTGAGATAGTGACAAATTTATTATCTGTTTACCTCGTTAAAAACCTTCAGCAGATATTAGGACTGTTAGACTTCACTACAAGTCACTAGTTTTAAACGTGTTTCCGGGGAAATCGATTTAGTATCGAGCAAGCAGATAGGGTTGTATCTGAAAAGAGTATTGGTGAGAATATATGCACCTCCGCATAATTATCAACACTAAATTCAGTGCAAATGAATGAATTTAGATGTACACAGTTTGTACGCAGGTGTTTTTATTCTTGCTGTGCTCATAATATAAGTTGATAAATTTGACGTCAGTCAGCCGCTCACTTTTATCGGTAGTTTCAGGGTAATCTCTACTCATTTAGAAAACTCTCCAAATTCCTTCCAAGAATGACCATCAAATCATCATTAGATTAGCACCTAGAACGACGAAGGAAAACTTAACCTCCGCTGCGGAGTTTTTTATTAGAAAAAGCCAAATGACCGGTTACAGACCATTGGAGAGGGGAGCAAAACTCTCATTTGAATCTTGTTTACAAAAACTGGATATCCAACTTCTCCTGAACGCGTCTTCTTGAACTTTCCTGGATATTCATTGACTCCAATCATTCATTGCTCAAATACAAGCAAATGTTACACAGCGACTCCACGAATTCCGCGACAGATCTCCTCTTTTCAAGAGACGCACAGCGAAA